AGATACACTAATGATGCAGCAGGGCTCCTAATATTCTTGGAGTTCTTATCATGTTACTCTATCCTGATAATGACTAATGAAATGAAAATGCTTATATTTCCTTCAGGTCCACAGCGGTTTTTTAAGTGCATATGATTCGGTCAGAACAAAGCTTATCTCACTTATCAAGCAAGCAGTTGGATATGTGTAAGTTCTCATAGTTATCTTGGTTATTTTCAGATTGCATTTAAATATTTGTTATCTTGGTTATTTTTTCTGGCTCCTTAAAGCGTATAATTCATCTTGAAGCATGTACTATTGTACTAGGCTCCATGTACTAATGGTTTAATGTGTCTTGTCTATATTCCTCGTAATTCTTTCTATGTTTAGTGTATTAGACAACTAAAGTCTCTTCATTATTTCTGAGTGTCTATATATTTTGCTTGATTCTGAGATAACAAAGTCATGCAAACAAACTCATTTCAAATATGAGTAATTTATTTTTATGAACTATGGGTAAAATATTGTATCGTTATTATTAAAAGGCCAGCTTCTGTGGTAGTTGAGAGGAAGTCATCTTTTTTTTTATGTATTGTGTTAGGCATTATATCTATTTAAGATATTTTAACTCTGCAGTTACCCAGGTACCCAATGGCAGGTTTTTGTTGTTGTCAACATTACTATGTAGACTACTTTTATAAAATCTGTCATATTGGAGGAGGCTACCACAAAACTATACTAATAACGCATTTGTAATCATATAAACTCAATTACAATTTGAATAATGGAAATTAACTCAACCAGGTTTCAATGAAATGAATGCAGAGATGATGACCTTGAACCCACTCCCAAGTGGCATGTTTATGTAACTGGTCATTGTTTGGGCGGTGCTTTAGCTACTCTCCTTGCTCTTGAATTATCAACAAGTCAACTGACGAAGTAATGTTGTCTTCTCTGAACTGATTGTTTTATATACATTCTGTCCTCTTCATGATGGTTGTTTGTTTGGGTGCATGTCAATTTCTGTTAAACCTCTTTTTGCTGGATAGACCACTGTGCTTCTTAAACATGATAACATGTGAATCTTTGTGTTAATGGAAAAGCTATATTATTTGAGATTAGCTAGTTTATATTGGACATCCAGAAATTTTTTTGCCCGCTTTTATCATTACTCCCAACATCCCAAAATTGTTGTCCTAGTTTGAATTTTTGGTCAACTATGACACTCTTTGAACACAAATTAAATATAAGTTTAAATAAGTAAATGTAATAAAAATTTGATATATCAAAACCACATCTTTAAATGAATCCAATTATATTACATTTACAGTATAACTAAATATACTTCTTTTACAATTTATGGTCAAAGAGTGTCACAGTTTGACCAAAAAAAGTCAAACTAGAACAATAATTCTGGGAGGGAGGGAGTATTATTTTGCATTCAGCTGAATATTGAGGATCTTACTATTAGTGTGTTTGATTGGAGTGGAGTGGACAGAAAGGAAGGTAAAGTGTTCCCCTTCCCTCATTTGATTCAAAAAATTGAAGGGGAGGGGAGTCAGCATTTTCTCCTCTTTCCGTCCCATCCAACCAAACAAGGCACCTTTGAAATTTCAAGCCATTATTTCCCCACTCCCCTCCAACAAACCAAACAAGGTAAATCCACCCCCTTTCTCCTTTTCGTCTCTTTCTCTCCCCTCTCAAATCAAACACATCCTTAATGAAAAAAATGTTCACATTTGAAATCCAAGTTTATGTTTTCCATTATGATTTTTTATTTAGTTGTCTCTGTGGGTGCGTGTAGGCATGGAGCCAGGGGCGGACCCACGTTGGGTCACACGGGGTCAAACGACCCCACGGAAATTATAAATTTTTTAGTATATATTTATATATATACAATTTTCCTAGTGTATACCTAGATTTAGTATATATGCTAAAACACGCTACAAATATCAACTTGTACCTGCTGTACAAGTGGAATGCTACGCGTTTTGCATTGATTGGGTTGGGCGGTCTTGAGTTCGAAACTAGCTGTAGGAATGAGTATATTTTATTTTTTGGAACAAATCTTCATCTTCCATTTCTACTTTGCCAGATTTTTTCTTTTACATTATTGAATTTAATTATCTAAATTGGATATTTCTTTTTTATTTGTAAATTATGAAAATTTTAATTTATTGTTATAAATTTGTAATTGTGAATAGAAGAATAGGGAATTGAATTCGTTTATTTTTTTAAGATTGTGAATATAATTAGGTTAAGTTTTAAGTTTATAATGTTTTTAATTATTTAAATTTCAATATAGGATGCAAAAGTATTTTAAAAAAACACCAAGATTTAAAAAGAAAGAATTGAGTGAGAATGTAAAGATGTACGGAGTATTTCACATTTGCAATGTAGAAGTATTTTTAGTTAGTATTTTCAATAACATATATAAACTTTAATGTTATGTATTATAGAATACTGTTTATTTATTATTAGAAGCGTGACGGCTGGATATAAATTTTCTAAATTACGACCCCACGGTTCAAATGTTCTAGGTCCGCCCCTGCATGGAGCTATCTCTGTGACTATGTATAATTTTGGATCTCCCAGAGTTGGGAACAAAAAATTTGCTGAACTGTCTAATGAGGTGAAGTATCTTTCTGACTTTAATTGAATGTAAAGCAAATCTGTATCATCTATTCTCACTTTTCAATGTGTAGTCTTTGTCATAAACAGTTTTAATGGAATTTTTAGGGGAAATACTGGAAGGAAAGTGGTCTATTTACAGTTTACTTTTCTTCTGATCCGATAATTGCGTTTTTATAAGAAGCTAAAAACCTTTTCTCATAGTAAAATGCTAAAATTTCTATAATATGATTCTCCTCATTTTTGAGCAAGAACCAGACTTCAATTGCTTGTGCCTTGTGGGGTCTTAATACTAGGCTTCTTTGTTGCAGAGAGTCAAAGACAGCTGGAGGGTTGTAAATCACAGAGATATAATTCCAACAGTTCCACGTTTAATGGGCTACTGCCATGTGGCTCAACCTGTTTATCTCACTGCAAGATATCCAAAAAATGCAATGGTGATAAACTGCTACTCTAATTTCTTAATTTTCTTTTTACATGTTTTTATGTTTAATTTTCATTTTATAAAAATAAGTTCCCCCGCATTCTACATGTTCAAAGACTTTGTCATAACTTTGAGTACATCATCATGACCACCTTGATCCCAACTTCTTTAGGGTTGGTGTATGAGAAAGGATTAAATGAAGAATTAAGCGGGAAAAGAAAATGTGGGTAATAAAGAATGATTTCAAATTTCGTAGTTTGGTTGGTAGGGTGAGTGTTTAAAAAAGGCAAAATAAGCAATGTACAATACCTTAGATGCTGGATAGGAGTACTTTCTTCATCATGTATGAATTAACATTTGTGGAAGAAACTTCCATTACCCCAAACACGGGAGTCAAATGGTGGAGGGACTTATTAATAAGGAAAGGTAATGATATTCCCTTCGACCATGCACCCTGACACGGACAATCACTTCTATTAGCACTATCAATTCTTTCCCAAAAAACAAAAATATTCTAATGGTTGAATATATTTCATCTTTTTTCTCTGAAAGCTTCTCATGGCTTCAAGGATTTGTTTGTTACATAATGCAAGCTAACGTTGAACCATTAGAAGATAGCTACCAAGTAGATGTTATTGGGGAAGCCACACCTGATGTTATTGTCAATGAATTTGTATGTTTGAAACTTCTATTATTGTTTTCAAATTTTGATACGTTATTCTGCAATCATACCTGCCTGCCATGCCATCCAGTTCAGGATATTCATTCTATGATATGTTTTCATTTTTCAAGTATGGATACTGAACAACTATTAGATTGGTTGTGCTTTACTTTATGGAAACTGCCTATACAATGGATTTGGGGAAGATTTTCCTATTCTTGAAAACTTAACTCTTGAACTTCTAGGAGACTATTGTTCTGTTCGAGCAATTTTCAAAAGTTCATAAACACACTTGGTCTCTCTCGCCCATGCTTGAAAGTGTCAAAAAGAATATCTCTATATCTTAATTCTATGCTTTCATCAACTCTCCCAAAGATGTTATTCTCTAAGAGAGAAATATCCTGGACAAACTTCCCATGCCGGGAGAGGTAAACTTTGTTGTTGACAGGAACTTGACATTGGTAACAATGATACTGAATGGAGTAGCAAAGAAAGACACATGGAGAGAAGATGCGTTTGAGTTTGTGGTTGGAGTAGGGGCAAAACCACACATTTGGGGG